GAAATTGAGTGGCAGGTACTCTTCAGCCCTTGCTCCTGTTCTTAGGGTTGCCAGTGTTAGCATTGCAAATCCTATTGAGCTTGCCACAGCAATTAGAAATATTGTCCATATCTCTCAGGGGTTCCATCTATTCCCCCTCATTTCTTTCCTCCAGGTATGCCAGTGTTGCTGCCTTTAGACTTTTCTTCTAGCAGAGAAGTCTTAGAACTTTCCTTTTAAGCTTCCAGAACTTGAGTCAACACTATGCTTGCCAGTTGTCTGCAACTGGACCTAATGGCAGTCATGTCAGTATGCTCCAGCATTTACATCCCTCAGCTCTCATAGTCCTCTTACATCTTTTTAATATGATTTGGTTGCAAGGGATTCTTCTTCATCCATGGAAGACTTCTGCTGTTCTGCCTTTTTCTGAACTGGGTACTTCAGGTCCATGATGCCTCACATTATCATCCCAGTGCTCTTACTAGTGCAGTTTGAAAGTTGATGGAGCATCAAGTAAATAGATGTTTAGTGTGGTATTTAGAGAGAGGGAGAGAATAGTTTTTCCACTTGTCAGTTTGGCTTTCATAAGGGCCACTCCACTATCGACCCCTTACTCTTTTTAGATACCCATGTTCATGATGCCTTTACTAGTAACCATTCAGTTATTGTAGTCTTTTGATCTGGAAAAACACATGGCACTACTTGGAGATGTAATATCTTGGCCCAAGCTCATTCCTTGGACCTTTGGGATTCTGCCACTTTTCCTTAAAAACTTCTTGTCTGAGAGGCATTTCTGTATCTAGGTTGATAATCTGCTTTCCCCTGACTATCCAGGCTGAAGGTGTCCCTAAGGGATATGTCCTTAGCACCACTCTTTTTCTCCTAGCTATTAATGATCTGGCCTCTGTTCTAATATTTGGTCATCACTATGGTGATTGCTTTAATATTGGTTGTGCAGGTGCTAACTGCCACCTAGTATCAGCCTCTCAAGAATGCTATTGACAGTGTTTTTTATTGGGCCACTACTCTTGGGTTTAAATTTTCTGGAACTAAAATGCACCAATTACTTTTACTAAATGTTCTGTTGTGTCTAATACTCTTATACCTGTATGGTTCTTGGATCCCTGAACGTGATACGGTCAGATTTCTTGGTCTTCCGTTTGATCACCAGTTGTCCTGGAAATCTCACAATACCTCCCTGAAAGTAACTTGCCATAGCTGGCTGAACCTCCTTTAAACCCATGCTCATCTTTTGTGGGGGTGGATTGTCGAACTCTCCTTCAGCTTCATTCAGTCCTAATTTTATCAAAACTAGATTATGGCAGAATCTCCCACAACTCTTTCTAAACTTGATCATATTCATCATCAGGGATTATGTTTGTGTCTAGGTGCTTTTCGTTCCTCCCTTGTTGAGAGGATGTATGCAGAGGCAAATGTTCCATCTTCAAACAATTGCCGTAATGCTCATTGCCTCAGATATTTTGTCCGCTCTCATGACCTTCACAATCCTTCTACATAAAGGATGGTAAAGGACGTTAGTAGAAGTCCTTTATTTGATCGCTGCCCATTTACTCTTTCTGTGTTCATTCACTCTTCTCTTCCGCTGCTCCCTTTATATGTTCATCTAGCATCTAAGTTTTCTCTTCCCCTTTGCAAGGTTCCGACAGTTCAAGTCTATTCTTCCCCACTGCCATGCACAAAAGCTCAGATACCTACAGCTACTTCTCACTCCCTCATTCTAATGCCATTGTAGTTTACACTGATGGCTCTATCCTCTGACAGTGCTGGGTTTACAGCAGTGTTCCCAGACAGTATGGTGCGAGGTTATTTATTTGACTGAACTAGCGTTTCCACAGCTGAACTGTATGCAGGTCTCGGTGATTATACGTATTGTGGCCAAGCCTACCTCAACATTTCTGGTAGTTTGACTCCTTTGGTGCTTTACAGGCCATCAAGAAATCGCCTAGTTCTTCGTATACAAGCTTGGTTATGCTGCATTTCTAGCAGAAACAAAGTAATCATTTTTTACTGGGTCCCTGGTCATGTGATGTTCAGAGCAACGAGCAGATAAACTCTGCTGTGCAGTCAGCGGTACATGACCTTCATGTTTCATATAGAGGTACAGTGGACCCCAGGTTTTCGGCCTTAATCCGTTCTGGAAGGTTGGCTGAAATCTGGAATGGCCGAAAACCGAAGTAATATTTCCCGTCGCACAAAAAATCTGTCCAGAGATGCCTGTTTTTGGTGTGTCTGCAAGATTTGCCTAAAATGGGACAAGACATTGTCATTGAACATGTTGCAGATGGCTTGCAACAGTTTTGTTAAGGTGATAATTCTCCACAAAACTTTGCACCTCACTCCATTTTGCACAAATGTCCTTAATTGCTGAAGAAGGCACACCCTCCCCCCCCCCCCTCTTCCTCCTCTGAAGCAATATCCTCAGCTGCTATTCCAGTTGAAGGTGTTGCAGCTCTTCAGTGGTTAGCTCTTCCCTGTGGTCCTCCACCAACTCTTCCACACCCTTGCCACTCACATCCAACCCCATGGACTTCCCCAAAGACACCTTCTTTACCAAAGGGCTGGCACTCTGAACTTTCTTTGGCCCCATGGTGGCTTATTTTAGTCACAATCAATAAACAAGCACCAAAAACAGTGGATGAACGCACGGAGTATTCCTAACTCAACGAGAGACGCGGACTGTGTGAGAGATATGTGAGGAAGCAGCGCCACCGGTGGGTGGACGCGTCTCATACCAACGATTTCTGAGTGGCTGTGCGAAATCCAGGGGAAAATTTTGCTGAAAAAAGTGCTCAATTTCTGAATTGTACGATTTCCACACCGGCCAATAACCGAGGGTCCACTGTATTCCATTCTCAGACTATTTTTGCTGTAATCTCTATCCACCTTTGCAACCAGTAGCAATGTTAGTCTGAGTTGATTCATAACAAATTATCTATCAGGCTGTGTTTAGGATTCTGGGCTTCTTATCAATGTTGTGGTTGAGAGACTATACGTTTTACCAGCTTCGCATCTGGTACACGCATCTCACTCGTGGGGAGGTTCCTAGTTCCACTGTGAGATTTGTCAGGTTCCAGTTTCAGCTTGCCATGTTGTATTGGACTGTCCTGTTTACCAATGAGCATGCAGAATTTACCTCTGATGTCATCTTTTTGACAGCAACAGATTTATTATACAACTTTGATTATACAGTGGACCCCCGCATACCGTCGGCATCACATAACGTTTAATCCGCATACCGCTCGCTTTTATCGCAAAAATTTTGCCTCGCATACCGCTCAAAAACCCGCTCACCGCTGTTCGTCCGAGACGCGTCCAATGTGCGCCCTTAGCCAGCCTCACATGTGCCGCCGGTGGCATTGTTTACCAGCCAGCCTCCGCGGTAACATCCAAGCATACAATCGGAACATTTCGTATTATTACAGTGTTTTTGGTGATTTTATCTGCAAAATAAGTGACCATGGGCCCCAAGAAAACTTCTAGTGCCAACCCTACAGCAATAAGGGTGAGAATTACTATAGAGATGAAGAAAAAGATCAGTGATAAGTATGAAAGTGGAGTGCGTGTCTCCGAGCTGGCCAGGTTGTATAATAAACCCCCAATCAACCATCGCTACTATTGGTGGTACAGCTGCTGCTGCTGCTGTACCACCGTCAGCTGCTGCTCTGCCTGCTCTGCTTGTCAGGCTGCTGCTGCTGCTGTAGCATCGTGCTGCTGGTACGTCTGCTGCTGCTGTACCACGTCGCTGCTGCTGTACACCGTCTGCTGCTGCTGTAGCATCGTCTGCTGCTGCTGTAAGCACTCGTCTGCTGACTGCTCGTAGCACTTGCTCAGCATGTCTGCTGCTGTGTACACTGTCAGCTGCTGCTGCTGTAGCACTGTCAGCTGCTGCTGCTGTAGCACCGTTGTTGGTGTGGCTTATTGAGAATACCAAGAAACAATTAACCCAGAGGATTTGCCACCCAGGATAACCCAAAAAAGTCAGTGTCATCGAAGACTGTCTAACTTATTTCCATTGGGGTCCTTAATCTTGTCTCCCAGGATGCAACCCACACCAGTCGACTAACACCCAGGTGAACAGGGAAAAATGCCTGGAACTAGTGCACATATTGGTGAATTTAAAGCCAGCAAAGGTTGGTTTGAGAGATTTAAGAATCGTAGTGGCATACACAGTGTGATAAGGCCTGTTCTGGAAGAAAATGCCAAACAGGACCTACAGTACTCAGGAGGAAAAGGCACTCCCAGGACAGTGTCTCATCAGTCATTGCTGCATCTTCAATAAGGTAAGTGTCATTTATTCTTCATTTAGTAGAGTAGTACATGCACAATATATATTGTGCATGTACTACTCTACTATTGTGCATGTATCCTTCTCTTTGTGTGTAGGAAAATGTATATTTCATGTGGTAAAATTTTTTTTTTCATACTTTTGGGTGTCTTGCACGGATTAATTTGATTTCCATTATTTCTTATGGGGAAAATTCATTCGCATACCGATCATTTCGCATAACAATGAGCCCTCTTGCACGGATTAAAGTCGCTATGCGGGGGTCCACTGTACTTCCTTTAGCACTTCACATCACCCTAACTTCCTCTTAGTCTTTGATCAAGCATATTAAACCTTCAGCATGCCCTACCCTGCAGTGCTGTATGACCCTTGTGGGTTAGTTGTGATTATAATAATGATTAGATTAGACAAAGTAGATTGTTTTCAGAATTATCCGTTATTGTTACGATTATGAAAAAAATCTCGCCATTCATATTTAAAAAGAGCGTCTGCATTATCCTCTATTCGTCTGTTAAATAAATTATTATTATTATAATCATGGAGTGCTAAACCCTCCTGATTACTTTAACTGGATCAAGATCCCAGAACCAAAACATGTTCTAATTATGCCCCAGTGTTTGTCTGAACCACTTGTCAGTATCAGTTATCAAGCTTTATACCACAAACTTTTGAGTTTAATATTTTTTTAAACAAGGATTGAGATTTTTCTTTCCAGATGGCCCGTACACAAGCCATGCGTGCAGAGCGTCATCGTCAGTGGCTGACTGGAGAACGATCTAGTGAAGACCACTATGCACCAGCACCTAGAATTGATGGGTATTAGACATTATTCAGATGCTCCTCCATGATTTTGCTCATTTGGTAACAGCTATGATATTCCTAATTATGGCACTGTACAGCTCTCATCTCCATTATCAAAATTTCAAGATTATAATGAAGTGACTATTGGACTTGTAAATAAAATTCAGCATACATTGATGACTTGTTTTAGTAACCTAAACTTTTAGTAAAATGTATAAGGTTGAAAAAGCATATAATTTCACAGCATTTAAATTTTTGTCAGTAGTCAAATGATTGAACAATTTTATTTAGTATATGTACTTCATTTTTTAAAAGCTGACTATATTAACCCTTTCTGGGTCAGTGCCATTGTTCTATGGTTTTGAAGCTAGTGTCAGTGCCGTAGTTCTACGTCATCCGAGCGGTAAATTTGGGCCTAGATATGAGAAAATGGGTCTGTGGTAAGTGTGCACCATATGAAAAAAAGTCTTGCAGCATGCAGTGCATAATGAAATTTTTTTTTTTCTGGTTTAAAATGGTGACTGTGTTGTATTTTCGTATAATTTTTATGGTTGTGTTCACGGTTTCTTCCTCTTCAAGGGGGGCTCCTTGTTGTGGTGAAGAGGCTCTTGGTCTGAGGAATTAGACCTGTCGGTCTCCTTCCTCAGACCGAACCTAATTACCCCCCAATCCCCCCCTCCCTATCCCATCCTCCCCTTTTTCCTTTCATCCTCCTCCTCCCCACCCCTCCCTTTTGCCCTTCCTCTTTTTGGCCTTTGGGATTTCTCCCACAGGCACGCTAGTCCTTAGGTAGGGGAAAGGATACCGGGGTTCATCCCATTCCATTGAGGTTCTTGGCGGTGGCATAGTTTGCCGTGGAATCTGGATCGCCTGGGGATGTCCTGATCCCTCTCCTGTATCCCGGAGTAGCTTTGGGTGTCTTTCGGGCGACGGGTGCATCTCTGGAAGCCACCTTTCGGATTCCGGGGGTGGTGGCTGAAGGAGGTATGCTTTGTGGTGGATATCCGGCCGCCCTCTCTTTTGTCCACCGAGGTAGCTTGGCAGATGTGAGGTTGCTATCCTGGCATGAAGGGTAGGGTATGGCACGGGTTCCATGCTGCATCTGCGCTACTAGCGGTGCTGAGGTCCTCTTGGGCGCGGAGGGAGATTTCCGGCCCTTTCATTCCTCCTGGGAACTATTCCTCCCCGCTCCCCCCCCCCTTTTTTATTTTTATTTTCTTTTTTCTTTTTTTTTCTTAAAAACAAAAAGCAAAGGAGTAACCTAACCATGGAGAACTCATCCATGAACCCACTACCCCCGGGCCCCTTCTTGATACCGCACCCCATTCTGACCCTGCCTTGTTTTTAGACCACTCTTCGGACGCCCCTGTACCTCTTGCTGGTGCTGTTTCCTCACCCGCTTCAGGTACCGGGGCTTCGACTGACTCCTTCAATTTGTCTGACCTCCACTCTCCTTTGACTATGCTTCCGGCCTCTCCCTCTACGGTACAGCAATTTTCGAATCGCCAGCCCATTTCACGCCGGACCAACTCCGGTCCTACTCCTAAACGCCAACGTCAATCTCCTGATGATGCTCCTTCGTTACCTTCCCATTCTACTCGGAAAAGACAGACACGTTATGCACTCCCTCTCCACGCTCCGTTTCGGACCACACAATGGACTAAAGTCTTTACTTTAAGACTGACTTCTTCCTCTGCCTATCTTTCTGACTATAGTATTGGCAAAGCGCTCCTGCTTAAATTTTTGGTAGGTATTTCATTAAAAGCTCTCAAGAGGGTAGGGCGCAAAAGCCCCCGGGCCCAGAATGCTCCCCAAGCCCCATAAATCTTTCTCCCCCTTTCGAATTTCATATACTCCTATCACTTTTAAAAAACCCATCTTTCTCTCAATTTTTGTAGTGGTACTGTATTCTGCCCCTACCATAGTCCACAAAATTTTCCAGTCTTTGTGGAAAATGACATTTTTAAACCGCTGGAACCCCGGGACTCCCAATCCCCCAAAGTAACACTTAGCCCTTTTTTTCCCGGGCCCGGGGGGCCCGGAGACTTCCCTTTGGGCAATGTGGCTCTTTTAATTTTTTGACAGCCGAAAAACCCCCCGTCCCTGTATTGTGCGGGCCCAGGGTTTTAAAAAGTTCGAAAGGTGTTTTTAAAAAACCCCACCCGAAACCCATTTGTAAAAATTTGGCGGCTTTTTGGTCCCCCCAGCAAAAAAATTGCGATCTATAGCTGAATGCCCAGTCTGTGGTGCCGACCCCTAAAAGGGAAAGGGTTTCCCTTTAAAGTTGGTGAGGGGCTCTTTATTTAGGGGAATTTTATCTGTGCTCCAGTTCCCCCAAAATTTAAACCTGAATGCCTTCCACATCCCCCCCCCCAGGCGCTGTATAATTTCCCCCGGGGTTTAGCGTTTCCCCCCTTTATTATAAAAATAATAAGTGGTGCCCACGAACCCTTCCCAATACATCTTGCAGGCAACCCCATCTTTCCTTTAATTTGGAAAGAAGTCACCCTTGACTCCCCCCGTTTCCAGGTCTACTTTAAAAGAACGTGAAAACCCTTGCCTCAAAAGGGGCAGGTCTCCCTTAAGCTTTGGCCCGTTACTCCCCCTCCCCCTCCAAGGGGGGGACAAACCCCCGTTTCTTATTCTCGGTTTTTGCAAAAAAATCCCCCCCCTTCTGGGGGGCCCACTTCTGCAGCCTCCCCCTGTTTTACCCCCCCCCCATAGCCACTCCCCGGGATCTAACCTTTTTTCTGTCCTTGGGTCTGAGTCCCCCACTACAGCTCGGGCTGTTTTCCCCATCTTCGCTTTTTTTCCCTTTTCCCAAACCCTAGTACGACAAGACTCGTACCCCCCCTTAAAACCAATTGCCCCCCTACTTCACAAAAAGGCCAAAAAAACACATTGCTCAAATCTTTTTTGGGCCCCCTTCCCTTTCCCTTTTTCCACCTCCACACTTTCCTTTCCAGCTCTGTGCCTAGTTTCTTCCCCTCTCTTTTGGGTCTTTTTACAAGTGTGGAGATTCACCCCCCTCCTCGTTTTGCCCTCCACCCCCTTCCCCCCCCAAAATTTTCCCCCCTCTTCTGGGCCCCCTCCCAGGTTTCTGCTTTTCCCGTCCCCCCCCACACTTTTATCTCCCCTTTCCCCCATTCTTTTGTTTTCCCCCCCTTAACTTTGGTACAGTCCATTACTGTCCCAATCTTTACTCACTCTCCCCCTTCTACCTCCAATATGGTCTCCCATACATCTTTGAATTCAGAAAACACTTGAAGCCATTTCAGAATATATTGCAGAGACTAAACCTTCAATGGACATGATTCACTTCCTGTTCCTTCTCTTCCCTCCCTCCATCTTCGCAACGCTGTTCCTTCGCTGCTTGAACGTCTTCCAATGCCACCACACGTTGACTTTTCTAACCCCACTAGTCCGTAGGTGCCTTTTCCTACGGATTCCTGGTATTTTCTTCATTGCCAATCATGGCCTTTTTACAGTGGAATATCCGCGGCCTCAGGGGAAATCGGGGGGGCTTCAGAGTTGTTTCCAGGTTTTCCCTGTTGGTGTTTGCTTAAAAAAACCCAAAATTGCATCGAAATTTCACCTATCTCAGGCTATAATTTTTTGTATTCTTCGGATCCTTTCCAGAGGGCCCTTTTAAAGAAATGCCTTTTACGAAATTGATATTCCGTACTGTCAACTATTTGTCCATACCTTGTGCTTACACTGCAGCCCGTATCCACTTGAATGGGGGTTTCAATATGTCTTTTTCCCTCTTCCTTCGAGATTTTCAATCCCAGACTTTCCTTTCTTGTTTCACCCCACCACCACCACACTTCTGTTTTTGGTGATTTAACCCCCCCTTTTTTTCCTCTGGGGGGGGGGGGGTCTATTGTGACCACGTGGCACCCAGTTGGAGGCTTTTCTCGCCTTCCCCCCCTCCATTTTTTTAAATGGGTACTCCCACCCATTTTGATCCTGTCTTTTCCTTTTTGCATCGATCTATCAGTCGCTTCCTCCACTGCACTAGATTTCACCGGTTGTTCACCGGACTTGCATGAAGCGATCATTTTCCAACTTTTTACTTCCCCTTATATTCACCACCTTTTGGCCCTGCTGGCAATTTGATCGGAAAATTTGGGGACCTTTCCGCAGCTCACTGCTTTTATGAGGTTCCTTCTTCACCCCATTGATAAACCCCCTACACCTCTTCTCGAGTCAGTTTATATCGCAGCTTCTCATTCATACCCCAAACCCAGGAAGATTCTCAAAGTGCGTGCCTTGGTGGTCTGTTTGTGCCGTGCAGTACTTTAAAACGTGCTGCAGGGGGAGGTCCCGATACAATAAAAAACCAATGGGACTTCTTGATTTTAACAAAAGCGTGCGTCGCTTCCCGGTTTTCCCCCGTGATGCAAACGACGTGGGAGATTTTTCCCCCATCCCCTCTGCGAGTGCAGTCTGGAAAAAAGTGAGGAAAATTGAGTGGTAAATACTCTCCTGCCCCGGCTCCTTTTCTACGGGTCCCCGGTATTGAGTACAAACCCTCTTGACTTTGCATAAAATTGGCACTTATTGGTCCGATTTCCCCCGGGGGGCCCCCTTTTTCCCCTCGTTTCTTTCCCCAAAGTCGCCAGAGAGTTAGTACCCCTTGGGCTTTTCTTTCTCAAGGAAGAAAATATAATGTGCCCCTTTTTCACTTCAGGGAACTGGAGGGGAACACTCTCACTTGCGGGGTATCGGGTGGGGCCTGATGACATTCGTATTCGTATGTTACAAACATTACATCAGTCAGCCCTTGTATCCCCTTCACCTCTTCTATCTTATTTGGGGACAAGGGTTCTTCCCAGCTGTGGAAATCTGCCCTTGTCCTCCCTTTCTGAAGCCGGGGTACTAAGGACTGTGCCTCCCCCTATTCCCCCTGCCTTACTAGTGCAATTTGCAAAATGAGGAACGTCTGGTAAATCGCCGTTTTTAAAGTGGTATTTAGACACACACAACATCTTCCGTAGTAATAGGCTTTTTTAAGGGAGTTTACCATAAACCCCCTTTCTACGCTTGGAAGTATGTTGTAATGCCTCTGCAATTAATCACCGGTTATTGCCCTTTTTTTGATCTTTTAGAAGGCTTTGACACAAATTTGGGGGTATAAAATTTTGGGCCCAAGCCCCCTCCCTTTGGGCCCCCGAGGCAATCTACATCCTTCCTTAAAAACTTTTTAATGAGAGACACTTTCCCTGTTGAGCAAAAATGTGCTTTCCCCCGGACTTTGGGCCCCAAACTGAAGGTGTCCCGGGGGTTTTTGGCACAAACTTTTTCTCTTGCTTTAATGATTTAGCCCCTTTTTCTTCCACCCAATATTTTGGTCATAACCTTTTGTTGATGATTCCTATTGCTTGTGCAGGCGCTGTTTTAATTTCATTGCAGTTTTCTCCAGGGTGGGCGACCGTGTTTTCCACTTGGGCCACCCCGATGGGGGTTAAAAATTTTTTCCCGACCAAAAATCGCCCAAAAAACTTTACTAGTGCCCACCCTGCTAGGGGTTCATTATTTTAAAACGTGTAAACCACACAACCAAATCCTGTAAATTCAACATTGTAATTTTTATAGAGAATAAACTTTGAATCTTTGAATCTTTGAAACGTGATAGTCAGGTTTCTAGGCCTTCTCTTTGACTGTAGGTTATCCTGGAAACCTCACCTTACCTCTCTGAAGGCAACTTGTCATAGCCGGCTAAACCTTCTTAAAACCCTTGCTCATCTTTCCTGGGGAGCTGATCATCGAACTCTGCTTCGCCTACATTCAGCCCTCGTTTTATCAAAACTCAATTATGGCGACCAGATTTATTCAGCGGCCTCTCCTGCTACTCTCTAGCCTTAACCCCATCCATCACCAAGGATTACGTTTATGCCTTGGTGCTTTTCGCTCTTCCCCTGTTGAGAGCCTCTATGCAGAAGCGAATGTTCCATCCTTGTCTGATCGCCGTGATGCCCATTGCCTTCGCTACTATGTACGCTCTCACAATCTCCACAATCCTTCCAGTTATAGATTGGTCACCGATATTAGTAGACATTCTTTATTTGTTTGCCGCCCCTGTTTGCTCCGTCCCTTTTCTCTTCGCCTACATTCACTCGTCTTCCCTTCAGTTTCCACCTTTATATGTTCATGTAGCATCTCACTTTTTCCCTACCCCCCTGGGAAGTTCCAGCTGTTCTTTCTCGCTCCCTTGCTCGAAAGCCCAACTGCCTACAGTGGCTTCCCGCTCTCTTTCTTGATCACTTCCACTCTTATTCTCATGCCATCGCTGTGTACACAGATGGCTCTAAGTCTTCAGACGGTGTCGGATTCGCAGCAGTGTTTCCGGACAGCGTTGTGCGAGGGCATTTACTATCTTCGGCTAGCATTTTTACTGCTGAATTGTATGCCATTCTTGCAGCACTTATTTGTATCACATCTATGCCTGTGTCATCATTTGTGGTAGTCTCAGACTCCCTTAGTGCTCTACAGGCTGTACGAAAATTTGATACATCTCGCCCCCTAGTTCTCCGTATCCAACTTTGGCTACGCCGTATCTCTACCAAGCATGAAGATATTGTTTTTTGTTGGGTCCCTGGTCATGTCGACGTACAGGGCAATGAACGGGCAGACACTGCTGCGCGGTCAGCAGTACATGACCTCCCAAATTTTCCTATCGAGGTGTTCCTTTTCTGGATATTTTGCTGCAATAGCTACCCACCTTCGCACCCGTTGGCAACAACGTTGGTCAACTCTGCCCCGGTAACAAACTTCATTCTATAAACCGAGCATAGGTTACTGGCAGTCTTCTTGTCATCAGTGCCGAGGTTGGGAGACCACTCTCCCGCCTTCGTATTGGCCACACTCGTCTTACTCATGGTTATCTCATGGAGAGGCACCCTGTTCCTCTCTGTGAGCAGTGTCAAGTTCCAGTATCGATTAGCCACATTCTGTTAGACTGCCCCCTCTATCAACGAGCACGCAGAATTTACCTCCAACGTCATCTTCGTTCTACTACTCTCTTTACCTTCCCTTCTTGCTGATGAACCCTCCTTTAATCCTGACTCTCTCATTGACTTCTTGACAACGGCTGATTTACTCCACAAACTCTGATGATGATACCTTTCGCACTCCGCTCAGCCCTTTCTAGTTCAGTCTCTTGCTGCCCTTTACCCTTTCACCATCCACTGCCCCGCTGTTATCCGTAACCTATTACTCGTCCATCTCCCTTTTGCCACCTGATGCCCTCGCTTCCTTCCTGCCCTGCAGCGCTGTATAGCCCTTGTGGCTTAGCGCTTCTTTTTGATTGTAATAATAATAATCACGGTTTCTTGGTCTCATTTGACAGAATTTTGCAGCCCTGAAAGCAAACTTAAGTTTGTGAGCAGGGGTCGAGACCCTGTAAAACAGTAAAAAAAAAAAAAAAGTTACAATATGGCTTGATGTGACATACACAGCTGGTACAATAACAGTAGCACCTACCAAGTGACAATGATGTACAGTTTGCATCTGTCTGAGGAACACATAATAATTATAATAATATTTAACCCTTTCAGTGTCCAAACCGTAGATCTACGTCATGAGCTCAGCTCACTCTGATAAACTGTGAGTGGTACACTTGGGCCTAGATATGAGAGAATACATCTATGTGGTATGTGTGCACCACATAAAACAAATCCTGCAGCACACTGTGTATAATGAGAGAAAAAAAACTGAAACCAAGATTTTCGATTAAAACAGCAACTTTGCAGTGTTTTTTCGTATGTTTTTTATAGTTGTATTTGCAATTTCTTGGTCTCATTTGATAGAATGGAAGACATATTACAGAAATAAAAGATGATTTTGATTGGTTTTAGCACTGGAAATGGCTTGAACTGAGCTCAAAGTAGCGGAAATGTTAAATTTTTGTCGATGTTCAAGAGTAAACAAACGACCTCACACATCTAATACATGCCAGCTGGTGGATCTAATAAAAAATTCACAAATGTTTGGGGATGATATTTATACAATTATTACAATATTGCAATAACAGTAAATCTTCTATTTTTTGGTATGAATATAAAATTCATTAGTAAAAAAAAAATGAAAATGGGATTTATTTGTAAAGCCTCAAAACGTAACTAATGAACCGAGGAAATGTTAGTTTAGTGCCAGGAATGCCTACATTGTTTATTCTGGATGCTATTTTGAAATTGGAATATTTTGAACTTTGTGTTAAATTGGCCAAATTACCAATTTCCGATCACTTTATTTTGTAGTTGAAACAGTTGACTTGGCGATTTCTTGTGCTCAATCGATAGAATAGAAGTAATACTAGTAAAATTGCTAAGAATTTGGTCGACTGGAATGATGTAATTGGCCTAAAATGGAAGTCAAAGTCGGCAAAATCGCCAACACATCAAAATTCGCGAGAGCATAATTTTGTACTTTTTGTTTTATTACCTTCACAAAAAGATTCTCTACCATTTCATAAGAAAAAATAAATTTTTTTTTGGAAAATTCTTGGACACTGGTGCGTGACTTCAGATTTTGGCCTTGGACCCTGAAAGGAGAAAACACCAAACCCAAAGAGGTCATACAGTACTACAGGGGAAAGAGATATTCAATAAAAAAAAAAAATAAATAAATCTAAGATATAACAAAGGATAATAAAAATTAGTTCAAAATGAGAACTTTGCACATGTAAAATCTCAAATGTTTAATAAGAAAAAAATATACAAGATATATTTTAACTAAATTTTCTGTGCACTGTTACAATATTTAACAAGTGAAAATATACAATAGACACACAATGTCGACTTGTTTATGAAGGTACCTTGAAACATGAGGCGTCACTACCATATTAACGTGGTACTGTTATACTACAGTGCCATGTTAACACTTAGTAGTGTTAAGGGGGGCAAGTCCTACGAGGAGATGTTAAGGGAAATCTACCTTATACTGGAGGGACATGATAACATATAAAATACCGAGAGGAATCAACAAGGAGACACAACTTGAAGTTGAAGACTGATGAGTCATGGGGATATTAGGAAGTATTTCTTCAGTCATAAAGTGGAATAGTCTGGAAAGGGAGGTGGAGGTAAGATCCATGCAAACTTTATGAAGAGGTACGATAAAGCTCATGAAGCAGGGAGCGACTGTGTAGCGACCAGTGAGAGGCAGAGCCAGGAGCTATGACTTGACCCCCACAAACACAATAAAGTGTGTTAACATAGCACTGTGCCAAGCTAGGCTTCATCATCACTATCTTTCATCTTTGCATCCAGCTCAATTCTTGTCTTCTTCTTAGGAGGATCTGAAAAACGTGAAAATTATTCAACTAGTTGGGTTTTGATCAAACTGACTTACAATAATGAGCACTGATCAGCAAGACACGAGTGTAAATCAATACCACTAGGTGGCAACACAACTCATTCATACTCCAGATTATTATAATAATCAAGGGGGAAGCACTAAACCCGGAGGATTATACAGTGCCTGGGGGGGGGGGGATGTGGAAGGCATTCAGGCTTAATTTGGGGAACTGGAGCATAGATCCAATTCCCTAAATCAAGAGCCCCTCACCAAAATCAAAGAACCTTCCTTGAGGGGCATACTCCAGAGATTAACTACAAATCCCAGAGATACTGCCTATATACTTCAGAGATATTGACTATACATTCATAAGATACTGACTACATACTCCCCTACATGAACAAAAGGTACAATACCATGAGTGGAACAATACACACACAACCCATACATAGGAGAGAGGAGCTTACGACAATGTTTCAGTCCAACTTGGACCATTTACAAAGCCACACTAACACGAAGAAGAGAAGCCAGTCGTAAGCTCCTATGTGTGGGTTATTTGTGTATACTTCCTACATATTCTTAAGATACTGCCTACATACCCTACAGATATTGCCTACATATCCCAGATATACTACCCATATATCCCTAGCATTCTGCCTTCATATCCCTAACATTCTATGAACATATACCAGAAATTACTACATAAGTCAAGATTTTTTTAACACACTGTCCTTTAACATCCAAGGCAGGGTAACTCAAGAAAAGAAGAGACATTTTCACCATTATTCAATCCCTGCCTTGCCAAAAGTGTGATATCACAATTCAGATGCCTCTCCAAACTGCAATATCTCCACCCCTCCTTCAGAGTGCAAGCACTTCACTTTCCACCCCCAGGACTCAAGTCTGGCTAACTGGTTTTTATAAAATCATTCATAAATGTTCCCTTGCTTTCATTCTCACAGCACATCAAGCCATAAAAACAATTTGCCTCCACTCGCTCCTATCTAAGATGTTCACATACACCCATTGGATGTTCAAGACCCTAGTATTCAAAACCTCCTTTCCCCCTCCCTCCAACTTCTCAGATGACCCCTACTCATCCTTCCCTCAAGACCAGATTTATACACCCTCCAAGTCATCCTATTTTGCTCCACCTTTCTAAATGTCCAAAGAACCCCTCAGCCTCCTGGTTAACACTTTTTGCAGCCTTCTCCTAATCTCCAAGCTTCAGATTCTCTGAATAATATTCACACAACACATTGCCCTCAAATACAACATTTGCACTGCCTCCTTGTTGCCGTAACATGTAAAACCTATGCATCATACCCATATAACCTGTGTTGGTACTGCTATACTCTGGTATGTATATTTTCCTTTCTGTGTGTATAAATCTGTCTCCACATTTTCCCCTCATCTATCCTGTGGTTCACTCTTTCAAAGAACAAGAATATCTGAACACATTTACTTCCTTCATACTCCCCTCCAATCTCACATCCAGTCTTTCCTTGCCTAGTATTTGTTACTCTTATCACCATGCTCTTTCCTATATTTACTTTTAATTTCCTACTTTACTTACCCTTCCAAATTGCTCCACCAACCTTTGCAACTTCTCTTCAGAATTTCCCACAAGAACTGTATCATCAGCAAGAAGCAACTGTGAGACCTCCCACCTTGTATAAAATTATCTTTTAATCCCACACCTCTCTCCAACACTGTAATGTTCACTTATCTTACAACCCCATCAATAAATATGTTAAACAACCATGTTGCCATCACACATCCCTGTCTAAGGTCTACTTTTACAACAAAATACTCTCCCTCTCTCCTACATACCCTAACCTGAGCCTCACTATCGACATAAAACCTCTTTATTGCTTTTAGTACCCTTCCACCTATTCCATACACTTGCAACATCACATCCCTATGCAGCCTATCACATACCTTCTCCAAATCCATAAATGCAACAAAAAAAATGTTCCTCACAGCCTCTCCTCACTTAACAATGGAGTACTGTTCCTAAGACCACACCGGTAAACAAATTCGCCGCTAAGTGAGGAGCATACTATAATGGTGGTGGGTTCGTGTCAACCATCTTTGATATTGTTTTAAGGTCAACTTAGCACCATTTATAAGATTTCTGGTATATTTTTAAATTTTTATACAGTAGTGTACTGTAATAAACAAAATAGAGATAAAATAGGACAAGATTTTTAAGCAGCAAGTAAGGTGCTGTGTATAAATAACCCGCATATAGGACAATGAAACTTCTGACGACACTTTGGTCCGACCATTAACTAGTTAATGGTCCAAGTTGGAAAAAAATGTCATAAGTTTCATTCTCTTACATGTGGGCTACTTGTGTACTGTGCTGTCTGTGTAATCAAAGGCAGAGCAGTGTCTAAACACTAGAGATTTTTTTTTCCACATACTGTATATAGTAATAAACTATTGGACTTATGGACTGAAACTCCAGGAAACAAACAAATTACATGAACACTTAACGATGAAGATGAGATATCACAGCCAGAGTTCTGTAACTACAAAAAGGCAATCTTCTACAAAAAATTAAGTATATTTCATTACCTCCAGCAATAAAGTGTTCTGCCGTCTTTCTCCGCAATTCCTCGACTGTATCGTCTTCATTAGCCCACTCTAGCACCAAGCGGCGGTCATACAAGTGGGTACTTAACTTCAGGGCTTGAAAGGCATTCTGTTGCAGCCAACAAGAAATTAAGCAGGGATTATTAAAAGATAATAATAATAATGGTGAAATGAAAGGTTTCATTTGATCCATATTTGATATGCCATTCTATCAACAATCAATGGGTAACCCTGCACCATCTTCTAAGTAAAAGTACTTGTTATGCAAAACTTTAGACCAACATATAATAAAATTATAGAAATTGTGAGATATGTGGTGATGACACAACAATAAACTGGCAAGTGACACCATAACTAAACATTTTTTACACATTTTCAAACATACAAAGTTGAATGCAAGTTGATGGATAATTGTGCAATTATTTTGTGTTCTAGTACTAATGGCAATAGTAACCTGTCAGTGTGACCTTTATAAAACCAGTAATAGGCTCTTACATCATGTTGTGCTCAATAACTAATCTTTAAATTCACCTGTTTCCCTGGCTTCTAACTGTAAGCAACACATTATTTCACACTAAAGGGAGAAAGATGATCCCTACACTATCTTCTCTCCACTAAAGATTTATACACCCTCTCAGTCATCCTATTTTGCTCCATCCTTTCTAAATGTCCAAACCACCTTAATAACCTTTCCTCAGCTCTCTGGATAATACTTCCTGTACCTCCTAATCTTGAAACGACGAATGCTCTGCATAATATTCACATCATACACTGCCTTCAGACACCACATCTCCACTGCTTCCAGCTTCATGTTCACTCTATCATTTAAAACCCATGCTTCACAACCATACAAGTGTGCTGGTACCACTGTACAAAAGGGCCCCACTTATACGGAATGTTAGGTTCCAGGCTACTGCTGGAAAGTAGACATAGCCGGAAAGCGGAACACCAATTTTTCCACTTATAAATGCCAGACAACAAGTTTACACTAACTAGGCATTAAAGAACACAATATGGTTAATTTTGGACTAGACATGAAAGAATGAGTCTGTATGTTAAGTGTGTAAGGTTTAACTCTTATACTGTCCAAACGAAGATCTACCTTCACTCGTGTAGCGCTCTGAATGTAGATCTACGTTTTATTTTACATTTGAAGGCATGTAAAATAAAATGTAGATCTCCGTTCGGAGTGATACATGAGTGAATGTAGTTCTACGTTTGGGCAATTTAAGGGTTAAAAATATCCTGTCTCGAGCATTGCAAGATGAAAAGAGAAAACCTCGGACCTAGTGTTTCGTTTAAAATAGTGACTGAGGTGTTTTCTAGGTTGATTTTTGTTATTATTACCTGACTCTTGGTATCGTTTGATAGAATAAAAAACACACTACAAAGATAGAGATGATTTTGTTTGGTTTCAGGACTGGAAGTAGACTGAAATCAGGCTTAAAATAGTGGAAATATTAGATTTTTAAAAAATTTCTGAGAATGGGTAAGCCCCCCTATACCTCCCAATCTGCTTTATGATCAATCATTCCTAATTATATTTTATTAGCTGAAAAAAAGGCAATTTTTTTTTGTGATGAATTCAAAATGGAGGGCAGGTGTAAAATAGAAAAGGCCTGAGGTTGTGATTAATGAGCAGAGGAAATGTTGCTTAAGTGCCTGGAATGTCTACAGTAACTTCTACTCACTTCATAGGGTAATTCTGATAGTTTAATGATCAATTTCTGGTGCTGAATCAATAGCAAAATAGCTATGAATTTGGTCAAATTGAACAATGGAATTGGCTTAAACTAGGACTCAAAGTGGGCATAATCGCCAATGTGTAAATTGTGTCCAGACCACTAAATTTGCACTTGCGTAATTCCATGAGTTTTCCAACAAATTTTGCAGTTTTAGTAACATTACCTCCAGGGAAGGAATCTATCATTTCAGAATAAAAAAAAAGGCCAAGACTGTGAACACTTTTAATTTGGGGCTTTGGACAGTAAAGAAGTTGTCATTTACCACCTATTCTAAACATTTGCAATGCATGCTCCACTGCTCCTTTATCCACTCTATCATGTGCCTTTTCTAAATCCATAAATGCAACAAAAACTTTCTTACCTTATCTAAATATTTTTCACCATTAAATATTTGCTTTACACACCTCCTACTCTTCCTAAAACCTCCTTGTTCATCTGCAATCTTGCTCTGTCTTACCCTTAACTCTTCTGTACACTTTAACAAGTATACTCAACAGATTTATAACCCCCTATAATTCTTGCACTATCTTTGGTCCCTCTTTGCCTTTATGCAAAGGAACTATGCAGGTTCTCTGCCAATCCCTAAGTATCTTCCCCTCTTTCATACAGTTACTGAACAAAAGTAGCAACCACTCAGAAACTATTATCCCTGCCTGCTTTTAACATTTCTGTTTTGATGCCATCAACCCCAGCTGTTTTACTCCCTTTCATTTTACACATAGTCTCACACACTTTCCCACACTAACATCTGACTCCTCCTCCACCTTTCCTGACGAATGCATGAAATCACAGCTTTCCTTTCTTCATCAACATTTAACAATTCCTCAAAATATTGTGTCTTCATTAACTCCAGAAACAATTTTCTTAACATACATGTCCTCTCTGAGACTTCTGATGGAAGCAGTAGTTTCCATATCTCTAAATCTATTCACTCTCTTGGCTTTCTAAACTTAATAATCTCAAACTTTTTTTTATTCTCAGCAAAATTTGTTGACAAAACTCTACCCACACCCTCTCCACTTATGAAACCTCTCACTCTCCATATACTTCCCCCCCTCCTTATAACTGAAAGAATTAGAGGTAAGACAGAACGTAGGATTGCGGATGAGCAAGGAGGTTTCAGAGTGGGTAGGGGATGTGTAGATCAAGTGTTTACATTGAGGCATATATGTGAACAGTATTTAGATAAAGGTAGGGAAGTTTTTATTGCATTTATAGATTTAGAAAAGGCATATGATAGAGTGGATAGGGGAGCAATGTGGCAGATGTTGCAAGTATATGGAATAGGTGGTAAGTTACTAAATGCTGTAAAGAGTTTTTATGAGGATAGTGAGGCTCAGGTTAGGGTGTGTAGAAGAGAGGGAGATTACTTCCCAGTAAAAGTAGGTCTTAGACAGGGATGTGTAATGTCACCATGGTTGTTTAATATATTTATAAATGGGGTTGTAAAAGAAATAAATGCTAGGGTGTTCGGGAGAGGGGTGGGATTAAATTATGGGGAATTAAATACAAAATGGGAATTGACACAGTTGCTTTTTGCTGATGATACTGTGCTCATGGGAGATTCTAAAGAAAAATTGCAGAGGTTAGTGGACGAGTTCGGGAGTGTGTGTAAAGGTAGAAAGTTGAAAGTGAACATAAAAAAGAGTAAGGTGATGAGAGTATCAAATGATTTAGATAAAGAAAAATTGGATATCAAATTGGGGAGGAGGAATATGGAAGAAGCGAATGTTTTCAGATACTTGGGAGTTGACGTGTCGGGGGATGGATTTATGAAGGATGAGGTTAATCATAGAACTGATGAGGGAAAAAAGGTGAGTGGTGCATTGAGGTATATGTGGAGACAAAAAATGTTATCTATGGAGGCAAAGAAGGGAATGTATGAAAGTATAGTAGTACCAACACTTATATGGGTGTGAAGTTTGGGTTGTGAAGGCAGCAGCGAGGAGGCGGTTGGAGGCAGTGGAGATGTCCTGTCTAAGGGCAATGTGTGGTGTAAATATTATGCAGAAAATTCGAAGTGTGGAGTTAATAAAAGTATTAGTCAGAGGGCTGAAGAGGGGTTGTTGAGGAGGTTTGGTTATTTAGAGAGAATGGATCAAAGTAGAATGACATGGAGAGCGTATAAATCTGTAGGGGAAGGAAGGCAGGGTAGGGGTCGTCCTCGAAAAGGTTGGAGGGAGGGGGTAAAGGAGGTTTTGTGGGCGAGGGGCTTGGACTTCCAGCAAGCGTGTGTGAGTGTGTTAGATAGGAGTGAATGGAGACGAATGGTATTTGGAACCTGATGATCTGTTGGAGTGTGAGCAGGGTAATATTTAGTGAAGGGATTCAGGGAAACCGGTTTTTATATAGCCGGACTTGAGTCCTAGAAATGGGAAGTACAATGCCTGCACTCTAAAGGAGGGGTTTGGGATATTAGCAGTTTGGAGGGATATGTTGTGTATCTTTATACGTATATGCTTCTAAGCTGTTGTGTTCTGAGCACCTTTGCAAAAACAGTGATTATGTGTGAATGAGGTGAGAGTGTTGAACGATGATGAAAGCATTTTCTTTTTGGGGATTTTCTTTCTTTTTTGGGTCACCCTGCCTCGGTGGGAGACGGCCGACTTGTTAAAAAAAAAAAAAAAAAATATATACAGTAAGGCCCTGCTTTACGGCGTTCCACTAATATGGCAATGTCAAATTATGACCAAAATTTGCTATACGGCAAGCGGTCTTTCAAATACGGCACCCCCACCCTGTTTGTTTACATTTTCCGTGACCTCATCTATTATGTCAGGAATCTTTCCAAAATTTCAAGTGTTTTAAAGTTACTGCATATTTTATATGTACTCTGATAATTATACTTATGTGTACCTGTACCTAAATATACTTACACACTGTGCTGGTGTGCAGGTACACATTAAAATTGCTAAGTCTCTCTCTACTCATGATGCCAATACTATTTTTTTTTTTATCACACTGGCCGATTCCCACCAAGGCAGGGTGGCCCGAAAAAGAAAAACTTTCACCATCATTCACTCCATCACTGTCTTGCCAGAAGGGTGCTTTACACTACAGTTTTTAAACTGCAACATTAACACCCCTCCTTCAGAGTGCAGGCACTGTACTTCCCATCTCCAGGACTCGAGTCCGGCCTGCCGGTTTCCCTGAACCCCTTCATAAATGTTACTTTGCTCACACTCCAACAGCACGTCGAGTATTAAAAACCATTCGTCTCCATTCACTCCTATCAAACATGCTCACGCACGCCTGCTGGAAGTCCAAGCCCCTCGCACACAAAACCTCCTTTACCCCCTCCCTCCAACCTTTCCTAGGCCGACTCCTACCCCGCCTTCCTTCCACTACAGACTGATACACTCTTGAAGTCATTCTGTTTCGCCCCATTCTCTCTGCATGTCCGAACCACCTCAACAACCCTTCCTCAGCCCTCTGGACAACAGTTTTGGTAATCCCGCACCTCCTCCTAACTTCCAAACTACGAATTCACTGCATTATATTCACACCACACATTGCCCTCAGACATGACATCTCCACTGCCTCCAGCCTTCTCCTCGCTGCAACATTCATCACCCATGCTTCACATCCATATAAGAGTGTTGGTAAAATAATACTCTCATACATTCCCCTCTTTGCCTCCAAGGACAAAGTTCTTTGTCTCCACAGACTCCTAAGTGCACCACTCACCCTTTTCCCCTCATCAATTCTATGATCCACCTCATCCTTCATAGACCCATCCGCTGACACGTCCACTCCCAAATATCTGAATACATTCACTTCCTCCATACTCTCTCCCTCCAATCTAATATCCAATCTTTCATCACCTAATATTTTTATCCTCATAACCTTACTCTTTCCTGTATTCACTTTTAATTTTCTTCTTTTGCACACCCTACCAAATTCATCCACCAATCTCTGCAACTTCTCTTCAGAATCTCCTAAGAGCACAGTGTCATCAGCAAAGAGCAACTGTGACAACTCCCACTTGATGTGTGATTCTTTATCTTTTAACTCCACGCCTCTTGCCAAGACCCTCGCATTTACTTCTCTTACAACCCCATCTATAAATATATTAAATAACCACGGTGACATCACACATCCTTGTCTAAGGCCTACTTTTACTGGGAAATAATTTCCCTCTTTCCTATGTACTCTAACTTGAGCCTCACTATCCTCGTAAAAACTCTTCACTGCTTTCAGTAACCTACCTCCTACACCATACACCTGCAACATCTGCCACACTGCCCCCCTATCCACCCTGTCATACGCCTTTTCCAAATCCATAAATGCCACAAAGACCTCTTTAGCCTTATCTAAATACTGTTCAATTAAAATAATAATCACTCTTGGGCACACTAAATGTCTTATTTTGCATCAATGTAGTCATTTTCATTAATCCAGCTATGATATTTTCCTCAAAATTATATATGAAACCCATTACACAGCATATAAACAAGATACATACATTCAGAATAAAAATTGATGTAAATATGAGCTTTGTTTACAAAGCAGCTGTGTAGGTAGTGTCGGAAGAATTACGTTTTCTCTAGTCAAACTGTGGGATAACTGTAGAAAAACATTCTTTTCATATGCTTTTATATATAGCAATTCACGACCCTTGTGGGTTTAGTGCTTTTTATTATAATACTACTAATAATATTATTATTATTATAATAATAATAATAATAATATTATTATTATTATTATTATCTTCATTCACTCTAAAAATGGTGTGTTGCTATTTGTTTATTCTGAACTTAACTTGTACAACTTGTACACAATGTAAGAGTATTTGTACTGTGAGGCAATTAGTATTATAATAAAAAAATATTGAGGTAAATGTTTTACAAACTTACAAACGGACGTGAATGAACTAAAAGTAGACACATATTAATACGCATTTATTTCGCCTGACCAAGTGATCGTCCACTATCTGTTCAGTTTGTGTTCTTACATTGTCTCAACTCTGTATCTCGTTCTCTCTCTCATTGACTCTTTCGTTAACTAATTGGCTCTCATTGACAATGGCGTCTAAGGTTAGCTGTGATAAAAAGAGAAGTCGTAAGCCTCTTGCTTTAAGTGCCAAGTTACAGGATGATGGTGTGCCATTATGATTTTATTCAATAAACACCCTGCCACTCACCTCTCACACATTAATATTAATATTTTAAGGTAAGTAATAAGTGTACTCTGTGTGTATCTTACCTTTTATTGTGTTTTTAATGCCTATTTCTACTGCTAACTTAATATAAGTTAGTGTAAACTTGTTGTCTGGCATTTATTGCATATTTTATGTGTGCTCTGATAATAATACTTGTGGAGCTGTGTGGTAGCCGGGTGGAGGGACAACATTACGTTTTCTCTGCTCAGCCATCAGAGAAAACGTGTATGAATCTGCGTTTGGCCCAGCCACTCCCTCACTCCACTTTTGTTTACAATTTTCGGCATGAATTATTCATTACTTCTACCTTCGTTTATGATGGGATCTATCGTAGTTGTTAGAAATGATTAAATTCAGTGAACAAGGCATGTCGATGTTAATAATATGGCTCTGGGCCACAGTGTAGGTAGCCGGTAGGTGTAGCCCAGGCGGGCTACACCTACCGGCTACCTACAAATAAATACTACTCACCTCTCTTCCTATATTAAGACTACACATATTTTAAAGTAAATAATGAGTGTATTGTATGTGTATTTTACCTCTCTGAGATGTTTTAAATATCGTATATTAAGTATGAGACGGGGAGCCAGGGCTACCTACACATGGGCTACCTGCACCTGACTTCCTACAAATAAGTACTACTCACCTCTCTCCCTACATTAAGATTACAAATACTTTAAGATAAGTAATGAATTTACTGTGAATGTATTTTACTTTGTGTGTTTTTAATGCCTAGTTCTATTACTAACTTAATATAATTTAGTGTAAACTTGTTGTCTGGCATTTATATGCATTTATAAATGGAAAAAAATGGTGTTCTGCCTTTGGGCGATGTCTGTTTTCTGGTGACAGCCTCGAACCTAACTCGTCGTATAAGTGGGGTCCTACTGTATCTCACTTCTGCTTTGTAAAACCTCTCATGCTACCTTTTTCTCCCTCACTACTCTCTTTACTTTGTCACTCCACCAAATACTTCTCTTCCATCCAGCACCCACCCTCCTATATCCACAAACTTCTGCTGCACACTAACACTGCATTCTTAGATCTACCCAATACCTCTTCAACCTAATCACCTATACTCTCACTAGCCCATCTTTCTCTAAACAGTTGCTTGTATATTACCGTAACTACCTCCTCCTCTAATTTATAAACTTATTACACCCTATATTGTATCTTGTGTACTCATTTATTCTCTTTTTTTTTTAATATGAATTACTTATTACCAAACCTCTTTCTATACTAAGTTAAATTAAAGGCCCCCCATTATCATTTACCCCCCTGGCAGTCCAAACTTACCTCTTATGGCCTCTACAAATGATTCTCCCACTTTAGTGTGTAGGTCTCCCACCACCATTACTTTCTCACTTGGTTCAAAACAACTCCCTAAACATTCACTAAACATCTACCAACATCTCTCCACTCCTCTCTTCTCCAGGTACATAAACACTTACTATAGCCCACTCTTATTTTAATTAACACTCTTTTCCTTCCATAAATGAACATCCAAAATTACCAATACTCCTTCCTTAGCTCTAACTCTCTCATATACACCTAACCTAATCCCATTTATTTCTTCCCACTCAAAAAAATCCACACCATACACATTTAAACATCTCAAATTTAAAATGATTTCTTTTACATTTAGTAATTAATACAGGAGAAAGGTTTATTAGCCCCTTGGCACTTTAGTCACCATTTATGACCTCGCACTTCAGTTACCTTTTATGACCTGGCACTTTAGTCACCTTTTATGACACAATTCATGGCACTGCTTACGGAAGTACGAGTTATTATTGTAGTCATACATTATAAATTACAATATACGTACTCACCTTGGCGTCTTCTTTGGAAACATACTCGACGAAACCAAAGCCGCGATGCTCCGAGCTACCAGGTTTACTAGGCAAACGGACGGCTTTTAGCTCGCCAAATGTCCTGAGTGAAAAATACACCAAACATGAATAAAGCATTTCATAATTTTTTTTTTTTCAACACACTGACCATCTCCCACCGAGGTAGGCTGACCCAAAAAAGAAAGAAACCCTTTCACCATCATTCACACATAATCACTGTCTTTGCTGAGGCACACAGACATGACAGTTCGGATGTCATTCCGAACAGAAAATAGCTCAAACCCCTTCTTTAACCCTTTGAGGGTTTCGGCCGTACTAGTACGGCTTATGACCCAGGGTTTTTGATGTACTAGTACGCCTAAATTCTAGCGCCCTCAAATCTAGTGGGAGAAATCTGGCAGGCCTACATATGAAAGAATGGGTCTATGTGGTCAGTGTGAACAGTATAAAAAAAATCCAGCAGCACAGTGCACAATGAGAAAAAAAAAAATTTGACCGTTTTTTTGGAATAAAACAGCAACTTTGCACTATATTTTCGTATGGTATTTATTGTTGTATTCTAGTTTTCTTGGTCTCATTTTATAGAATGGAAGACATATTACAGAAATTGAGATAATTTTGACTGGTTTTACAATAAAAAGTACCTTGAAATTGAGCTCAAAGTGGCAGAAATGTTCGATTTTTACCAAAGTTCAAAAGTAAACAAATCATGCCAAGCGTCCAATACACGTCAACTGGTGAGTCTAATATTCTTTCGCAAGTGTGCCAATAGTATTTATACCATTTTTTACACTAATGCAGTAGTCTGCATAACAGTAAATCTTCTATTTTTTGTGAGAATAAAAATTCGAAGTGGAAAGCAAAAGAATATAAGAGGGGCCTTGAGACGTGACTAATGAACAGAGGAAATGTCATTTTAGTGCCAGGAATGTCTTTCTTGTTTATTCTGGACCCTATTTGGAAATTGGCATCTTTTGAAATTTGTGTGAAATTGGCAAAATTGCTAAATTCTGACCACTGTACTGGATAGTTGAAATTAATAAATGGGTAGTTTCTTGCACTCATTCGATAGAAAAAAATGGCGTTCTAGCGAAATATTCATGTTTTTTGTCGACTAGTACAGTGGAATTGGCCGAAAATGGGGCTCAAAGTGGGCAAAATCGCTGATGCGTAAACATCGCCGAAACCACTAACTTCGCGAGAGCATAATTCCGTAAGTTTTCCATCAAATTTCAAACTTTTGGTGTCATTATGATCGGGAAAAGATTCTCTAGCTTTTCATAAGATAATTTTTTTTTTTTTAAATTTGGCTGACCCTGAGAACGAGTCTCGGAGAGGGCCTGTCGACCGTCAAAGGGTTAAAGTGCAGGCATTATACTTTCCACCCCCAGGACTCGAGGCCGGCCAATCCGTTTCCCTGAATCCTTTCACATATTACCCTGCTCACGCTCCAACAGCTCAAGAAGTCCCAAAAACCATTTGTCTCCATTCACTCCTAAACACGCTCGCACATGCCTGCTTTATGTCCAAGCCATAAAATTATGTAACATTTAAATATTACTAGTGATCTAATTTAGTAAATTTAAGCACTGCATTCTTAGTCCAAACTTATCGCCAAGGTCCAATAAATAAAAAATTCTTTGTGTAAAGAAAAAAGTGAGAGGGAGGAGGAACCAGTGCATAAGTGATACTAATAACCTTACAAGCACTCATTAACTGCTAGTTATTAAGTTTCTAGCAGAAACTCTACAATAATTAAAAATAATTAAGGGTAACCAAAATTATCAGTACATATACTAAATAATTTCGTACACAACACATTGAAAAAAAAAATAATTTTGAAGATTTGCCTTATTGCAATGTTTTTTTTTTTAAATTACAGGTTAATATTTAAAAGTGTGATTCAGATAAAAATTAGTTTGCTTATAATGATATTCAATAGCAAGATCATACATAGATGGTTATGCTGAACATGTGAGCAGCATCAACACTAAGTACATATACTTCTCAACTTAACTTACATAAATAACTGCCTCACTTCCTTCCAGGTTGCTTGGAATGGTATATTCCTCACCATTATTTTGGAAGATGTCTGTGCGCCTGTCTTGTGCATTCTCCTAGCACTCTTTAATTCACTTCTGTTAAAGATAATACACAGTGGTGAGAACTACATCATCATCAAATACAATTTAATGAAAGCCTCATGTGAAGACTGCAATACAAAAGTATTTTAGATTCTTTCGTAGTAAAATTGAAAAGGTAAAATTGAAATAAGACCAAGTACACATACTGTATGTAGTGTAGGTATGAGAGAGGATAGCTAGGTGAGGGTGTGGTGTTGTGTGGTGTGGGTGTGAATGTGTGGTGGGGGTGTGAATGTGTGGTGTGGGTGTGAATGTGTGGTGTGGGTGTGAATGTGTGGTGTGGGTGTGAATGTGTGGTGTGGGTGTGAATGTGTGGCATGGGTGTGAATGTGTGGTGTGGGTGTGAATGTGTGGTGTGGGTGTGAATGTGTGGTGTGAGTGTGTAGTTGGGTGTGAGTGTGGTGTAGGTGTGAGAGAGGATGGCTGGGTGTGAAAGTGTGGTGAAGGAATAGTGGGCACTCTGGAAAACAGGTCCTAGGGCAGCAACTCCCCTAGTGGAAGCTATAGGAAACATTATGGTAGGCATACTGTCTATAAGGATGTGAAGGGTATGGTATGGGTATGAGAGAAGATGGCTGGGTGTGAGGGAGGGAGAAAGGGAAAGAGGGTTATTTTTTAAATGAGTTGATGTATGTAACAGCACTTAGATAATCAATAGTGTTAGGAATCCTTAATCTAACATTGTAAAAACCCTGTGTAAAAAAAAAAAAAGGAAAGGGAGGAGAGAGAGACAGAGAGAGAGAGAGACAGAGAGAGAGAGAGAGAGAGAGAGAGAGAGAGAGAGAGAGAGAGAGAGAGAGAGAGAGAGAGAGAGAGACAGAGACAGAGACAGAGAGAGACAGAGACAGAGAGAGACAGAGACAGAGAGAGACAGAGAGAGAGAGAGAGACAGAGAGAGAGAGACAGAGAGAGAGAGAGACAGAGAGAAGAGAGACAGAGAGAGAGAGACAGAGAGACAGAGAGAGAGAGAAGAGAGAGAGAGAGACAGACAGACAGAGACAGGACAGAGACAAGACAAAGAGAAGACGAAGACAAGAGACGAGAATAAGAGAGACAGAACAGAGAGAGACAGACAGAGACAGAGACAGACAGACAGGGATGGGGGACTCATTTGAGTACTTTACACTTTTCATTTTCACCTTTAAAAAATAAACGAAATTAGATACCGAGTATTAAGGCCGGGGAAAACATTTCTGCTTATTACATTTGGTGTCTATGGAAAACAGGTTCCCAACACTCAACCAACAAACAATTTTCAGGAACACACTGGAGCACCTAGCATGTGTATTTAAAGTTTCACCACTGAAAACATTGCCAATACTCTTTGGACTACACGTATACTATCATCTTTAGCTATAATCCATGCTCTTTTTAAACATCCACCTTGTGGGGCAAGAAACACATACTCTATTTTTAAAAGGATATAAATATGGCCATAAGATCAAAGATGTTGACATGAAATGAACTGTGTCATGTTTTACTTAATACAACTCCACAACAATTATGTTTTATGAACTTTATGGCCAGAATGTTCATCAGTTTTACATCAACATAAAATAGTTTCAGGGGATAGAGGTGTATCATCACCACAGACAATGGTTCTTAACCATACAAGGTTTTATTTAGAAAGCCATCAGTTGATAAATGTTAATCGATATTAAGAAATTTGAGTGATAACTCTACAATACACAATAGTATACACCAGCCACCAGGCTACTGATTGGTTGACTGTTAGTGATACACAGATATCAAAGAACTGAATTTATTGTATACAATGGTTCCCTGAATTAGCATGTATTACTTGAGTATTTATGTATGAGTAAGGTAAGTTTAAACCAACGCAAAAAACAATAAATAATGAAGTATCAGTTGTAAAAATATAAAACATGTCTTAAGTTCACAATGCTTGAAATACTCACGTTAGTATCTTTTCTGAGAGTTTAACTTGCAATGTGTGTTCTTCAAGCGTTGAGTTATTCATTTCCCTGAGAGCTTTTTGTGCATCTGATCTTCTTAGGAACTGAACAAATCCATAACCTTGAGAAAGGCCACGCCGCTTGACTATTAACACGGAGTGAACTGCTCCAATTCTCTGGAAATGCTAGAGAGAAGTTCAGCATTTAATATTAAGATTACTATGTAAAACTACAGTAGTCCCCCCATATCTGCGAGGGATACATTCCAAGACCTACTGTGGATACCTGAAATCACGGATAGTAGCAAACCCTGCAAGTCATTTTTCATTCACATACATACCTATGATAAAGTTTAATAAATTACACACAATAAGCTGAGAATTAGCACTTTTTCACTGATGGGAAGCACTTCATGGCTTCTCTTAGGCTTTGAAGAATTGCCATCATCACTACTTTTGTGCTTTGTGGCCATTATTAAGCAAAATTAAAGGTTATTTTCGGGAAACAGGAAACCGTGGGTATCTGAAACTGTGGATACTGAATCTGTGGATACAGGGGTTCAACCGTATTTTTACTGGGCAGGTACCTACAAGAAGTACTATATGAGCAGTGTGAAGCCTCAGTAGACCTGCAGGCTGCTGTCAGCAACAGTCTGGTTGATGAGACAGTCAACAATGATGCCTGGCCTAAGACAGGGTCTAAAGCATAATGAATCTTGAAATCATCACAGGCATGCCTTAAATATTTTTGCACTTATAGTCAAAACCCTCCCCTCCAAACTGAACAAGGGGCTCTGTTCCAAGAGGTCCCCCAAAATCTCAAATCCGCAATTAATACAAAATTATGCCTTTTAAGCGATTCAGCAAATTATGGAAACATAAAAACAAACAACTGCAAAAATCAATTTGAGAATGAACAAGGGTATGGGTCACCCTGCCTAGGTGGGAGATGGCTGACTTGTAAAAAAAAAAAAAAAAAAAAAAAAAAAAAAAAAAGGATAAGGACCAAGATACAGTGCAACCTCTACTTGCAAGCGTGTCCATGCGCGAGTTTTTCCAAATACGAGCAGTCGATGGGTCGATTTTTTGCTTCTATGCGCGAGCAAAATTTCCACAAGCGAGTAGACCTCAAGGCAGGTTCCTTGACACCGGTGAGGGGCTCTTGCTCTTGATCTCAGGAATTGTATCTCATTTGTTTGTTGGACTATCTTATTGAAACTTGGGCAATGTATGATGGAAAGATGCTTCTTAACGTACACCAAAAATGAAAGAAATCTAAGCATAAATAATGGAGTTCACTTTTCACCAAAATTAGTGGTAATTTTGAATGGTTTTTATGGTTGTATTCTTGTTTTCTTGGTCTCATTTGATAGAATGGAAGATATATTACAGAAATAGATATGATTTTGATTGCTTTCATGATGAAAAGTGCCTTGAAATTGAGCTCAACCTAGGAGAAATGGTCCATTGCTTGGCTGTTTCAGAGTAAACAAATATGCAGTTGTGAATGGGTTGACATATTTATACAATTATTGCAATAAGGAATAACAGTAAATCTTATATTTTTTGTGCGAATAAAAGTTATAAATAACTTATATAATAATAATAATAACAATAATAATATAGTAATAATAATATGCATAATAATAATATGAATAATAACAATACTTTTTTTTTTTTTTCAACAAGTCGGTCGTCTCCCACCGAGGCAGGGTGACCCAAAAAAGAAAGAAAAGCCCCAAAAAGAAAATACTTTCATCATCATTCAACACTTTCACCACACTCACACATTATCATGGTTTTTGCAGAGGTGCTCAGAATACAACAGTTTAGAAGCATATACGTATAAAGATACACAACATATCCCTCCAAACTGCCAATATCCCAAACCCCTCCTTTAAAGTGCAGGCATTGTACTTCCCATTTCCAGGACTCAAGTCCGACTATATGAAAATAACCGGTTTCCCTGAATCCCTTCACTAAATATTACCCTGCTCACACTCCAACAAATCGTCAGGTCCCAAGTATCATTCGTCTCCATTCACTCCTATATAATAATAATGTACTACATATAATAATTATAATAATAGACGGCTTCAAAAGGCCGTCACTAGATGGCAGTGTTTACCACAACAAAGAGGGAGTGGTTGTGGCCACCTCCACCTGTTACATAATGACATATTTTATTCATTCTAGAGTATATATCGTGCTTCTATGTTATTTATATTGTCTGTTATGTCATATTAGATGAACTGTGATATATAAATAAGCCGTATAGATGATATTAGCGAAATTATTCATGAAGTATTTTGCCCGGTCTCCAGACACACTCTCGTCCACCGCCGACACCGCCCATACCACTACATGAATGACATATTTTATTCGTTTTAGAGTATATATCAGGTTTCTATGTTATTTATATTGTTTATTATGTCACATTAGATGAAGTGAGATAGATAAATAAACCGTAGAGTTGATATTATGAAATTATTGAAGTGCAGAATTCCACTTGAACGGATTAATTGCATTTCAATTAATTTAAATGAGGAAAATTGACTCTGCAAACGAGCAAATCCAGTTGCGAGCAAGGTCATGGAACGGATTAAACTCGCAAGTAGAGGTTCCACTGTACTTGCTTATCAAGGTATTTTCGGACTGCATAGCAATTAGGGGTATGGCAGTTGTAAGACTGAACTATGTGGCTGAAGTGTCCAACAAATGACAATGACGAATCTAGGGAGACACTCAAATGCCTCACTGATCTCACAGACTGCAAACTGACAGTAACACAATTGAAGGCACAAAAATCTCTACTCTGAACTCCCCTGAGATTTTCCCTGACAATCAAAACTGCTGTCTTATCCTTATTTAATTTCAATTTCCTTGTCATCCAAGTTTAAATAGCCAATCAAAAATAACTAAAATGAAGTTTTGCATCTTTCACATTGAAAACCCATGTGGAGACCTGTGTATCATCAGCATAAAAATGATAATCAACCCTGTGGGTATCCAACAGTAGCTCTAAACCACTAATAAACAGCAAACAATACTGGTCCAAGAACAGAGTCTTTAGGCACACCATAAGGCAAAGAAGATGACTCAGATACAGTCATGGAACTGGTCGTGACAGCACACTGAACCTTGAAAAACACTCCAGATAGACTTCCTAAGGCCACAGCCAAATAAGATCACTTATGAGTAATCCATGATCAATGGTATCAAGTACAGGTCGGCCATGACTAATCTGGTTCCATCAGTAATCTGGCATTAATTTTTGCTAGCATAATTTAAAATTTCTGGGGTCAATGCAACAAACTGCCACTACTGTGTGGTGGTGCTACTTGCTGCGTAAGTCATTCCAATTGGTTTTTCTCCATTTATTGTTATAACCTGCTCACTTTTAACTTTAGCCACGGTTCCAACAAATAAAGGAAATGCTTCTTGTTGTGTAATGAGCAAACACTGTACACTGTCCATAAAACATAAGGTGGCTTTAAAGCCACTATTGGTCCCGTAGTATAATGCCATGAGCTCAGCTCTCTCAGATAAGCTGTGACTGGTAAATTTGGGCCTATATATGAGAGAATAGGTCTGTGTGCTAAGTGTGCACTATGTAAAGAAAATCCTGCAGTACACAGTGCATGAGAAAAAAAAACTGCAGCCATGTTTCTGGTGTAAAGCAGTGAATTTGCGTGTATTTTCATATGGTTTTTATGGTTGTATTCTCATTTTTTTTTGGTCTCATTTGATAGAATGGAAGATATATTACAGAAATAAGAGATGATTTTGATTGGTTTCAGGACAGAAAGTACCTTGAAATTGAGCTGAAAGTAGTGGAAATGTTCAATTTTTGCAGATGCTCAAGAATAAACATATCATGTTGTGCTTCCAATACATGTCAAACTGGCTGGTCTAATACGCGGTTACGAATGGGTTGGCTTTATACAATTTTTTTTTTTTTTTTTTTTTTATCACACCGGCCGATTCCCACCAAGGCAGGGTGGCCCGAAAAAGAAAAACTTTCACCATCATTCACTCCATCACTGTCTTGCCAGAAGGGTGCTTTACACTACAGTTTTAAACTGCAACATTAACACCCCTCCTTCAGAGTGCAGGCACTGTACTTCCCATCTCCAGGACTCAAGTCCGGCCTGCCGGTTTCCCTGAATCCCTTCATAAATGTTACTTTGCTCACACTCCAACAGCACGTCAAGTATTAAAAACCATTTGTCTCCATTCACTCCTATCAAACACGCTCACGCATGCCTGCTGGAAGTCCAAGCCCCTCGCACACAAAACCTCCTTTACCCCCTCCCTCCAACCCTTCCTAGGCCGACCCCTACCCCGCCTTCCTTCCACTACAGACTGATACACTCTTGAAGTCATTCTGTTTCGCTCCATTCTCTCTACATGTCCGAACCACCTCAACAACCCTTCCTCAGCCCTCTGGACAACAGTTTTGGTAATCCCGCACCTCCTCCTAACTTCCAAACTACGAATTCTCTGCATTATATTCACACCACACATTGCCCTCAGACATGACATCTCCACTGCCTCCAGTATGCAGTAATCTGCATAACAGTAAATCTTCTATTTTTTTTTGTGTGTGTGTATAAACACTTAAAATGGAAAGGAAGTGTAATATAAGAGGGTCTGGAGATGTGACAAATGAACAGATAAAATGTTATTTTAGTGCCAGGAATGTCCGCATTGTTTATTCTAGACCTTATTTTGAAGTTGGCATCTCTTAAAATTTGTGTGAAACTTGCCAAATTACCAATTTCTGATCACTTTATTGGGTAGTTGAAATAGGTAAATGGGCTGCTTCTTGTACTCAATTGACAGAATAGAAGGAATACTAGCGAAATAGCTACGAGTTTGGTTGACTGGAACAATGAAATGGGCCAAAAATAGAGTGTAAAATGGAAGAAATCGCCAATGTGTAAATATCGCTGTTAGGTTAAGTGTATTCTAACTTAACCACTCTGTAATCTGACAAAATCACTAATCTAGCACCTTACAGGTCCCGATGATGCCAGATTAGTGATGGTCAATCTGTACAACAGAGATGGCCAAGAACACACTTCCTAAACAAATGTTCAAAACCAAATTATTGCAAGCTTTACACAAAACCATCTTGAATGAAATGGTCGAAATGCAGATTGAACACACAGTAAAACATGACTAAACTGCAGTAAAGGGAATAATCAGTTTAGAAGAGCATTTTGAATCAATTTAGAAAGAAATGTAAAATTTGAGAAAGGATGATGGTTAGATATGCTTTCCAAGTCAAGAGAAGACTTCTTAGGAAGTGAACAAACCAAAGCTCTTTTCACTGACTGAAAAGTATCCACATTTAAAACCATGGATCAACACTTATAAAAGGAACATGGCTTTCATATGTTTGCAAGATCTTTGAAACATTTAGAGGTTTCAGTGCAGGAAATACCTTACTAGAACCTCTAATATACACCAGAACTCCCACCTCATTTTGTCTGTGCTGAATGAGTGTATTAAGAATATAACCTCAAACTGGGTGATGTTTGAACACAGTATACTGATTAGTCTTTCCACTGAGAACTGTGTGAACACCCTCTATGCCGGCTCATACTGTCATGTGGTAAATACAAGATTATGGCAAGCTATAGTAATACTTCCTCTATGGAAAGGCTTGAACTTTCTGAATAGCTCCTTAAAAGAAACATGTGTGAAGAATAGCTGTTAATGATGGAGGAATGTGAGGCATTCAAGGTTGGAAATGCCTGCAATGTACTCTTGAGAGTTCAAGGCTACAGTAAATGATGAGAAGACAGAAGCAATGTGGATAACAACAAGAACAAAGAAAAGAAGGTACAATACCATGGCATCCAAGCAAAGAGAGTCAGAAATTGGATTCGTTTAGGCACTGGAATTAGCCTAAGATAGGCCTCAAAATGGGCAAAAATCACTTGATGCATAAAGTGCTCTTTACCTCCAATTCTGTGCATGGACAATTCTGTAAGTATTATATCAAATTTTGCCTTTATAGTGTCCTTACCTTTACAAAATTTCTCTATTTTTAGATTAAAAAACAAACAAAACAGAAAGGGTTCTCAGTTTGGGGGGGAACTAACAGTGAAGGGGTTAAAAGGTATAACAAGTTTACCAAAATCACAATATAATACACCTGGAGCATGAAGGAGTGCAGTATTTTTTCTTCCCTGGATATTATTAGCCATGTGATGGCTACCATAAAAAACACAACAGTAAAAAATAAACACTTCAAATTTAGCTCTAACTGAAATGACAACTTATATTAAGTTACCATACAATGACAGCCCTGACAATCTGTTGGAGTGTGAGCAGGGTAATATTTAGTGAAGGGATTCAGGGAAACCGGTTATTTTATATAACCGGACTTGAGTCCTGGAAATGGGAAGTACAATGCCTGCACTCTAAAGGAGGGGTTTGGGATATTGGCAGTTTGGAGAGATATACTGTGTATTTTTTTATGTATATACTTCTAAACTGTTGTATTCTGGGCACCTCTGCAAAAACAGTGATTATGTGTGAGGTGAAAGTGTTGAATGATGATGAAAGTATTTTCTTTTTGGGGGTTTTCTTTCTCTTTGGATCACCCTGCCTCGGTGGGAGACGGCCGACTTGTTGAGAACAAAAAAAAAAAAAAAAAAAAAAAAAAAAAAAGACAGTGAGCAGCTCAGTGAAAGTGAAAAGCAACTTTTATTCTTAATAAAGTTACCTCTTTCAGGACTTCCTCTGTAGTAGCAAAGTTGAGGTTCTTTACATAAATTGTTGTGTCTGGTTCAGGGTTGGGCAGTGTGTCCAGATTTTCTTCCTCTTTTTCTCCTTCCTCCTCTATAAATACACAAGTAAATGTTTAGGCATTAAAAATCATGTGAATAAAAATCTCAACAACAATTGGTAAGCTACCTAGAAAGAAAATCTTTAATACATCATAAATAAAACTAAAAAACTAAGAGATTTGTCTTAACTTGTTCATAAGACTTCTCACAATATATTAAAGGCAAAACACTTTGATACAAAGTGACACAAAACTCAAGTTCCATAAGTACTGTAATATACAGTTAATATTTATTTATTTTACTAATGTTTAAGTGGATACCATTATCCTTAAGGTCCAGTGGAATGGCCAGCCACCTCAACCACTAAACCTGAGGTCACATTCAGCCTGTTTGTGAAAGTTGTCCACAGAGCTCTGAAGTGTTGAAGCATGAAATCACAGCTAAATTTAAGGAGGGTGGTAGTGTTGGAATATTACTGTTGTATAGTCACAAAATAGCACCACCCCATTAATTTTCTGCCCTTTTGCAGGATCAGCTCTAATGTATTCTCTAAATGATATGGACATAAGAGCATCCTCCCATCCTTTTGATCTAGGGCTCCTTTTAGATTCATCATTTTTTCAATATGAGTATTATTACATTATTTTCCATTACACATTCTTACACTCCTGATATTTACTGTCAGTTTTTCCATATCTTATATTATTGCAACTTATTATTTTTTTTATTATCGCACTGGCCGATTCCTACCAAGGCAGGGTGGCCCCAAAAAGAAAAGCTTTCACCATCATTCACTCCATCACTGTCTTGCCAGAAGGGTGCTTTACACTACAGTTTTTAAACTGCAACATTAACACCCCTCCTTCAGAGTGCAGGCACTGTACTTCCCATCTCCAGGACTCAAGTCCGGCCTGCCAGTTTCCCTGAACCCCTTCATAAATGTTACTTTGCTCACACTCCAACAGCACAAGTATTAAAAACCATTTGTCTCCATTCACTCCTATCAAACACGCTCACGCATGCCTGCTGGAAGTCCAAGCCCCTCGCACACAAAACCTCCTTTACCCCCTCCCTCCAACCTTTCCTAGGCCGACCCCTACCCAGCCTTTCTTCCACTACAGACTGATACACTCTTGAAGTCACTGTAGACAGCCTGTACTGTCAGAACACACAGCCTAGCCGTCTGCTCTGACTAGTTCATATTTCGCGGCATTTAGGTGCTGCCCTCTGTAGGCTCACTCAGGTCAGTGGGAGGCTGAGCCCATCCGCTCTCACTCCTAGGCCGACCGACTTGATAGACACAAGTGCTCCCCCTCCACGGACTGGCTTGCGGTCACTCCCTCACACTGCCCGTTGTGTACTCACTCTTTTTTTTTTTTTTCAACAAGTCGGTCGTCTCCCACTGAGGCAGGGTGACCCAAAAAAAAAAAAGAAAGAAAATCCCCAAAAAGAAAATACTTTCATCATCATTCAACATTTTCACCACACTCACACATTATCACTGCTTTTGCAGAGGTGCTCAGAATACAACAGTTTAGAAGCATATACATATAAAGATACACAACATATCCCTCCAAACTGCCAATATCCCAAACCCCTCCTTTAAAGTGCAGGCATTGTACTTCCCATTTCCAGGACTCAAGTCCGACTATATGAAAATAACCGGTTTCCCTGAATCCCTTCACTAAATATTACCCTGCTCACACTCCAACAGATCGTCAGGTCCCAAGTATCATTCGTCTCCATTCACTCCTATCTAACACGCTCATGCACGCTTGCTGGAAGTCCAAGCCCCTCGCCCACAAAACCTCCTTTACCCCGTCTTTCCAACCCTTTCGAGGACGACCCCTACCCCTCTTTCCTTCCCCTATAGATTTGTATGCTTTCCATGTCATTCTACTTTGATCCATTCTCTCTAAATGACCAAACCACCTCAACAACCCCTCTTCTGCCCTCTGACTAATGCTTTTATTAACTCCACACCTTCTCCTAATTTCCACACTCCGAATTTTCTGCATAATATTTACACCACACATTGCCCTGAGACAGGACATCTCCACTGCCTCCAACCGTCTCCTCGCTGCTGCATTTACCACCCAAGCTTCACATCCATATAAGAGTGTTGGTACTACTATACTTTTATACATTCCCTTCTTTGCCTCCATAGACAACGTTTTTTGACTCCACATATACCTCAACGCACCACTCCCCTTTTTTCCCTCATCAATTCTATGATTAACCTCATCCTTCATAAATCCATCCGCTGACACGTCAACTCCCAAGTATCTGAAAACATTCACTTCTTCCATACTCCTCCCCAATTTGATATCCAATTTTTCTTTATCTAAATCATTTGATACCCTCATCACCTTACTCTTTTCTATGTTCACTTTCAACTTTCTACCTTTACACACATTCTCAAACTCATCCACTAACCTTTGCAATTTTTCTTTAGAATCTCCCATAAGCACAGTATCATTAGTAAAAAGTAACTGTGTCAATTCCCATTTTGAATTTGATTCCCCATAATTTAATCCCACCCCTCTCCCGAACACCCTAGCATTTACTTCTTTTACAACCCCATCTATAAATATATTAAACAACCATGGTGACAATACACATCCCTGTCTAAGACCTACTTTTACCGGGAAGTATTCTCCCTCTCTTCAACACACCCTAACCTGAGCCTCACTATCCTCATAAAAGCTCTTTACAGCATTTAGTAACTTACCACCTATTCCATAAACTTGCAACATCTGCCACATTGCTCCTCTATCCACTCTATCTTATGCCTTTTCTAAATCCATAAATGCAATAAAAACTTCCCTACCTTTATCTAAATACTGTTCACATATATGCTTCAATGTAAACACTTGATCTACACATCCCCTACCCACTCTGAAGCCTCCTTGCTCATCCGCAATTCTACATTCTGTCTTACCTCTAATTCTTTCAATTATAACTCTACCGTATACTTTTCCTGGTATACTCAGTAAACTTATTCCTCTATAATTTTTACAATCTTTTGTCCCCTTTCCCTTTATATAAAGGGACTATACATGCTCTCTGCCAATCCCTAGGTACCTTCCCCTCTTTCATACATTTATTAAACAAAAGTACCAACCACTCCAACACTATATCCCCCCCTGCTTTTAACATTTCTGTCATGATCCCATCAGTTCCAGCTGCTTTACCCCCTTTCATTGTACGTAATGCCTCACGTACCTCCACCACACTTACATTCTGCTCTTCTTCACTCCTAAAAGATGGTATACCTTCCTGGCCAGTGCATGAAATTACCGCCTCCCTTTCTTCCTCAACATTTAAAAGTTCCTCAAAATATTCTCGCCATCTACCTAATACCTCCCTCTCCCCATCTACTAACTCCCCTACTCTGTTTTTAATGGACAAATCCATACTTTCCCTAGGCTTTCTTAACTTGTTTAACTCACTCCAAATTTTTTTCTTATTTTCATTAAAATTTCTTGACAGTGCCTCTCCCACTCTTTCATCTGCTCTCCTTTTGCACTCTCTCACCACTCACTTCACCTTTCTTTTACTCTCCATATACTCTGCTCTTCTTATAACACTTCTGCTTTGTAAAAACCTCTCGTAAGCTACTTTTTTCTCTTTTATCACACCCTTTACTTCATCATTCCACCAATCACTCCTCTTTCCTCCTGCCCCCACCCTCCTATAACCACAAACTTCTGCCCCACATTCTAATACTGCATTTTTAAAACTATTCCAACCCTCTTCAACCCCCCCACTACTCATCTTTGCACTAGCCCACCTTTCTGCCAATAGTCGCTTATATCTCGCCCGAACTTCCTCCTCCCTTAGTTTATACACTTTCACCTCCCTCTTACTTGTTGTTGCCACCTTCCTCTTTTCCCATCTACCTCTTACTCTAACTGTAGCTACAACTAAATAATTATCTGATATATCAGTTGCCCCTCTATAAACATGTACATCCTGGAGCCTACCCATCAACCTTTTATCCACCAATACATAATCTAACAAACTACTTCCATTACATGCTACATCATACCTTGTATATTTATTTATCCTCTTTTTCATAAAATATGTATTATTTATTACCAAATTTCTTTCTACACATAGCTCAATTAAAGGCTCCCCATTTACATTTACCCCTGGCACCCCAAATTTACCTACTACTCCCTCCATAACATTTTTACCCACTTTAGCATTGAAATCCCCAAACACCATTACTCTCACACTTGATTCAAAACTCCCCACGCATTCACTCAACATTTCCCGGAATCTCTCTCTCTCCTCTACACTTCTCTCTTCTCCAGGTGCATACACGCTCACTATAACCCACTTTTCACATCCAATCTTTATTTTACTCCACATAATCCTTGAATTTATGCATTTGTAGTCCCTCTTTTCCTGCCATAGCTTATCCTTCAACATTATTGCTACTCCTTCTTTAGCTCTAACTCTATTTGAAACCCCTGACCAAATCCCATTTATTCCTCTCCATTGAAACTCTCCCACCCCCTTCAGCTTTGTTTCACTTAAAGCCAGGACATCCAGTTTCTTCTCATTCATAACATCCACAATCATCTCTTTCTTATCATTTGCACAACATCCACGCACATTCAGACTTCCCACTTTGACAATTTTCTTCTTCTTATTCTTTTTAGTAATATTTACAGGAAAAGGGGTTACTAGCCCATTGTTCTCGGCATTTTAGTTGACTTTTACAACACGCATGGCTTACGGAGGAAAGATTCTTATTCCACTTCCCCATGGATATAAAAGGAAAAGTAATAAGACCAAGAACTATTAAGATAAAATCAAAGAAAACTCAGATGAGTGTACTCACTCCTATCCAATTAAAGCCAAACTAGTCCACGGCCGTATCATTGCCACCTACGCTACCTTCATCGGCATTAAACCGCTGTTCAGCAGTAAGAACAGCAATAACAGTGGTGACAGCGGAGTCAACGGCATTGTGAGCCTCTTCAGGGTGGAGGGGTCAACACCATCGGTCGACGCCAGTCAACATCATCCGTCGTCATCCAA